CATATTAGGATTTTTGTTTGTTTTTTCCGTATATTTTCTTCATACTGTCGGATCTATATCCATAAATATATATATATATATATATATATATATATATATATATATATATATATATATATATAGTAATTAGTCGGAGGATTTGATAAATTTAATTAATTCATCGAGTCTGATAGAAATCTCCACAGAAGGCAGAAAGCACTGGACGGCCGTTTCGTCCAATATTTGGGACTCGTCAGCAGTGCGCATCCACTACCGAGAATTGAAACCCTGACAGTTGGGTTATCAAGCGAACATCATACCAACTGTTCCAAGCTTTGTTGAGTCTGATTTGGAATCTCTTCGTCACCGAGGCCCACTTGGAACAGTTGGTATGATGTTCGCTTAAAAACCCAACTGTCAGGGTTTCAATTCTCGGTAGTGGATGCGCACTGCTGATGAGTCCCAAATATAGGACGAAACGGCCGTCCAGTGCTTTCTGCATTCTGTTGAGATTTCTATCAGATTTGATGAATTAATTTATTTTTTTATTTATTTTTTTTTATATATATATATATATATATATATATATATATATATATATATATATATATTAATTGGTTTAAAATATGTTTTCCGCTACACAGTTTTAACCATGTTTCAAAAATGGAAGCTAAAAGCCACGAATTTAATTTTACAATTAAATTAAAGACATTAGTTCCATTTCATCCTCAAGCGAATTTTGGAGTAACTTTTAAAATTACTGGGTTTTAAAGACACAGCTAAAATCACGTTTATTCGCTATATATAAAATATCGCTGCCGACACTTGAGTTTGAACATTGATCACCAGAGAGTAAATACAGGCGATCCCATTATTGAATCAATTGGATCACGTGACCATAGAGGAAATATATAACGATGTGGAACCTTTATATTTCTACATTCAGTTATCATGGCGGGACTCGTACCGCTTTTCGATAATTTCAATAGAAATAATTCGATGACACTTTCACCAAACAAAAAAAAATCATCAAAATGTTAGTTAAAAAGGACAAAGCAAATACACTCAGAGACCGACATTTGTCTTTTTTCATACGCTTCTAGGTTGATAATCCTCTCGCTTGCAGCGACGTGCCGAATAAAAATGTACAAGTCACGTAGTGCTCAAGTGAACAACAATTGTTATGGTTTTAAATTTCATTTTTTTTTTAATTCGTTATTAATCAAGAATAATTAATTACGACAATATACACGCAATTTCTCGCCTGTTCATTGTAGCACATGAATGAAACATTTAACTCAACGCCTCTCGAACCATAGCGCGTACAAAGGTCTGCAGGAAATTAAATATCTCCGAGGAAGTCCTAAAAAACAAAATTAATGATTAAATAACAGAAGATTTAAAAAAAAACAAACAAAAAAAAAAGTTCGACTCTTCTTCAGAAATATGAGTTCATTTTTCGATTTCTGTCATTTGTATGCGTGTAATATTTAATCACGAAGGACCTTTCTGCCCAGTTCATTATTTTCGTACGGTTTTTCTTAAATCACTCGATATCTTCATGACGACGATTATTTCCTATAACTCGTTAAACGTACAGCAGTAATTATTGCACATAGGACAAAAAAAAATAATGCTAGATTGCATCAGCTTCATCGTTGAGATAGTTGGGGTTTATTTACTGGTGTCAGGTACAGTGTTCAAAACGAGGTGACGCAAAGTTTTCAAATTTTAATTTTCAAGTAATCCTTTCCACCACACGCTGAAGATTAACTCTCAAAATAAGTCTATTACTCAAGATTTACTGATGTCCAATAAAAATCAAATTACTATCATCATTTTATAGTATAAACTAACCTTTCAATGAGACCTTTTTACTATTATCGTTTATTACTAGTTTTAGTCTATTTTATTATTGTATTTTTAAAAAGAAGCCTTTTACTCTGATTATTTTATTACGAGTTTCAAAACTGTTTACCATTGTTACCTTTTCCGATAAAGCATTTTCACTATTATTATTACTATTTTACACTATCGTATTATTATTGTCTTTTTCAATAAAGCATTTTCATTAATATTATTACAACTTTTACACAATATTATTAATATTGCCTTTTTCAATGAAGCATTTTCATTATTATCATTACAACTTTTACTCTATATTATTATTGTCTTTTCCAATGAAGCATTTTCATTATTATTATAGCTATTTTACATTATCGTATTATTATTGCCTTTTTCAATTAAGCATTTTCATTATTATTATTACTATTTTACATTATCGTATTATTATTGCCTTTTTCAATGAAGCATTTTCATTATTATCATTACAACTTTTACACTATCTTATTATTCTTTCCTTTTCCAATGAAGCATTTTCATTATCATTATTACAACTTTTACAATGTCTTATTATAATTGCCTTTATTGATGAAGCATTTTCATTATTATTATTACTACATTTACACAATCTTATTCTTTTTGCTTTTTTCGATGAAGCATTTTTACGATTACTATATTATTACTAGGTTTATTTCATCTTATTATTGTTGCATGTTTGCTCTAGCAGTTTTGCTATTATCATTTAATAACAATTTTTGCTCCATCTAATTAATTGTTTTTTTAATTAAAATCTTCCCCTGTTATTTATATCTAGTTTTACTTTATCCTATTAATTCTTTTAATGTTTTCTTTACATCATCATCATCATCATCATTATTATTATTATTATTATTATTATTATGACCTCGTTATAAATTCCAGAGATAAATAGCTCAAATCAAAACCAGGTGGAGCTAATATAGAAAGAAAGTGTGAAAAGCCTTTATTTCATTGGCTGGCGTTGTCTGACGTATGTCAGTAAGAACGGCCGGACTCCTAGCCATATCTGAATTTTTCTTTGGAATGACAAGTTGCGAAGCACGAAGCTATCAAGGAGGCGGCCTGATCCTTCTGGAATCAGGTCGAGGTTGCTGTTTGAGCCGATATGATGCAAAACTCGAAATCGGTCATGATTCCAGATTTTTATTTCATAGAATACAAATTTAATCAGTAAACCTTATCAAAGAAATTTTAGGTAAACAATTTCGAAATTCTGTGCATAGCCAAGAAAGTATTCTATTGCTATATATTTTGTTAGTCCTGGAGGGAACTTAGTTATATTGATAAGGAGTGGTATAGACATATATCCAGTGGGAACTTTTGGTAAAACCCGACAGCCTATCCGTGTATATCCGGGGGGGGGGAATATAGTTACTGTTGAAATGCAATATTGATTATTATAATTTGTTCTTCCCGCCAGATTTTACATTGTCATATTCTCCCAAAAACAATAATGCGAGCTTACCAGGGTGATTATGCCACGAATTATTCTCGGTTACTGATACAAAAATAGACAAGGAATATAGAAAATCTAAATGGATCATGGAAATGAACGTTAGGGCGAGATACTCACAGATTACGAAAGTGGCACACACAATTGTATAAAAGGACATTTTTCAGAAGATGATTACGGTAGGAGACGTATCGAAAACAACATTACAAACGAAGAAAATATTGCTAAATTGCTATTTGGTATCTGCTCTGTGAGATCTGGAAAATACCGTCGCAAATGAAACAACGACTTCAGACGAGAGATGTGAGGTTCTACTGACTGTGTTATGAATTCTATAGACAGAGTGTTGGAAAGTGGATGGTAATCTCGCATTTCCTTCCTCATTCGCAGGCCCCTGCCACAAAATAAGGTATATTTTCCGTTTATACGTTATTTTTATAGATATAATTTATTTAAGTAAATGCTCTGTTTTTTTTTTTTTTTTTTTTTTTCAGTCGAATCCATTATATTCACTTACGTGCTAATACCCTTGGGAAAGGTATGAATCCTCGTCTTCTCTCCCCAGCTATGGGTAAATAGCAGAACAGACCGAGTTCTATAGCCTTGGATGGTAACTGGTCTACCGTAGAAAGAAATGGCAGCCTACAATCTGCTTCTTCAGTCATGTATCGAAAGATACATGATCGCCTAAGCGTGTATCACGCACGGCACATAACTGATATACGACACAGATAATATAACAGACTTTAGACAATCCCAGTAAACCTGGATGTCCGAAAAATCTCGTAGAATGAAGGTTCTGTGTAGGACACAGATTCGCTTCCAGTACGAATTTTTTCCGGCATTCAGGCCGGTAAATATGAGTAATACTGTTTATTGTAAACAAAGCATTTACTTAAATAATTATATCTATAAAAAATAAAGTGTAAACAGAAAATATATTAAAATAATTGTCGTACTTCGTCCATTGAATACTATATATATATATGTGTGTGTGTGTGTGTGTTCCATAGCTGCTCTTATAATGTTGTATTATTTATCTCTGAAAAATACGCAGAGGCTTATCGTGCATTATTGCTACTGTATCTATGTTTTTCTTTGCAAAGAAAACGTTACTGATAATATGTGTACACATTCCTGAAGATACTCAAGACATTTAGAAGCAAACAGACGCAAGCAAACCTAATCGTGTTTATATAATCTAATATATTAATTTAATACGCTTTCTAGACAACTGATTCGATCAGATAAGGAATTACTTTGTACGGATAATGGCAGGAAGCACACAAGTCCTTCGATTTACCGGAACCGTCTCGTTTGGTAATTAGTTTGAATACAACTTATTTTCCATTAATCAATTAAACAAGCGCCAAAGGGAACTTAAAGAACTCCATAGGATATCCGAAGTAAAACGTAAAAGTGCAAAAGCTTTCGCGATGGGGGAAAAAAAAAGCTTTTAAGAACAAAGTAACCGGCGGGGAAAACTTCCTCTCCTAGAGGAGTGACTTCCTTTTTTCATTTTTGAACAGCTGAGAACTTTTATTTTATTTTTTTCTCTGTTTAACAGAATAAAAAAAAATAGAGCGTATTTTGTTTGGATTCTATTTGGTTTAGTAATTAAAGACAAATGGCATTTATTCGCATTTGCGAGTCTCCAGCGTGACTGTTGCAGCTCGAGACGACAAAAATGTACATGCATTATTCAAAATGGAGTCGTCTGTAAGATTTGGGCATCCAGTTAACTAAATAGCTTAAAAAAAAAAATTAAAAAAAAAAAAAAATGAAATTTGACGCAGTCGCAGCGACATAATTAATGTCTTCCTCTCGGGAGTACAATTTGCAATTAGAAAAGACGGCAAAGTTTTGCATTTCTATAGAATCGTTACAAAAAAAGACTCTTTCAAAAGAAAAAAAAAAAACACGATTCTTTCAAATTTTCATGAAATTATTATTTCTTATTTCTTCTTAATATTTCATCTTCTTCTTCTTCTTCTTATTCTTCTTCCTCTTCTTCTTCTTCTTCTTCTTCTTATTCTTCTTCCTCTTCTTCTTCTTATTCTTCTTCCTCTTCTTCTTCTTTATTTCTTCTTCTTCTTCTTCTTCTTCTTCTTCTTTCTTCTTCTTTCTTCTTCCTTCTTCTTCCTTCTTCTTCTTCTTCTTCCTCTTTCTTCTTCTTCTTCTTCCTTCTTCTTCTTCTTCTTCTTCTTCTTCTCTTCTTCTTCTTCTTCTTATTATTATTATTTCTTTTTCGTATTATTTCTTATTATTATTTATCCTTCTCATTATTATTGTCATTATTTCTTCTTATTCATTCTTATTAGTTATTATTATTTTCTTATTATTATTTCTTATTATTATTAATATGTCTTAATTATTATTTATTATTATTTCTTCTCAATATTATTATTTCTTCTTCTTCTTATTATTATTATTATTTTTATTATTATGAATTTTCATATAATTATTTCTTCTTAATATTTTTCTTATTGTTATTTCTTACTATTATTATTATTTCTCATTATTATTTCTTCTTCTTGTTATGATTATTATTATTTATTATCATTATTATTTCATATTATTTCTTATTAATATATTTTATTTCTTCTTATTATTTCTTACTATTATCATTATTTCTTATTGTTATTATTTCTTCGTATTATTATTATTTCTTTTTATTATTATTATTATTATTATTATTATTATTTATTATTATTATTTCTTATCATTTTTTCTGCTTATTGTTATTATTTCTTGCTATTATTATTAATTCTTATTATTATTTCTGATTACTTCTTCCCATTAATATATCTCATTGTTATTTCTTGTTCTTCTTATATCTTTATATCCTTCTTCTTATTTCTTCGACTTATAGTCCCATGAAGTTGAACCATCCTTTTCTTTTTTTTCTTTCCATTAATTCGTTTTTCTTCTCCTCTTTTGCATTACTTTTTTTTTAATATTTTCAAATTCTTTTCCTTTTTTTGTTCCTATTTTTAAATATTTTTCTTGCACTTATCTAATTATTCCTTTTTCACATCTCTTTTACTGTACAAAAATAAATTACAGTAGTTTAAGATGGCTTAAGATTAACTATGGCGTATCCGTTTGGTTAAACCTTAATTCCAAGCTGAGGTAGATAGGGCGACGGCGGTGAGCAATTCAGTGGCCATCACGATCTCCAGACCTCACACCACAAGATTTTTTTTTCTTACGAGGGTCTACTAGATGATCTTGTTTATAGGCTCAAAACGAAAATAACTCTTGAACTTCTGACAAGTCTTCTGAAATTAATGTAGAAGCCTGTCGAATTGTTTGTAGAAGTCTTGCTGATAGGGTTCAACATTATATTGAACATGAAGAGGAACATTTTGAACAAGTTAAATAGTTTGTTAATCATAACAAATCATGTTTGTTTTGATGTGACAATAGATATAAATTTTCTTAAACTACTGTAATTTCTTTTTGTTCAATAAATAAAAAAGGGTGTTACAGCTAGATCCCTACCTGGTGTATGCTTTCAGACTCTCATGTGAACAACATATGGACTCATGTGTGGGCACCTCGGCGTGGTGTAATGGTTAGCAAGCTTGTCTTGCTAGATCAGTTACGACTGAGTAGTGAATTCGATCCTCACTGGGTACCCTATACTTTCGGCCTTGTGCCACATCTAAGCCGGGCTTAGAAAATCACTATGGACTCATGTATAAATATAACGTATCGTCTCAATCATAAACAGTCTATGTCTTACCTTCTGACACAAATATGATAAAAAAATATTTTAGTATTAAATAATCCGACAGAGCTTGATAGGTTGTTAAATCCACAAATCAATTAACACTTACCTAGACTAAAATTCCTTCCCTAGGAACCAAATGACTCCACCTGACCCAGTTTGAGAACTACTCTATCAGTGAAATATTAACAATGACTTGTAAGTTATTATTTCTATTATTTACTCTGATTAACATCCCTATCTTTGTTGTTGTTATCACGTTTTTGGCTGCTGTGTCTTCAAGCCTTCTGATATGTTTTTGAAGGAAAAAATATTACCAGAAATATATATTTGACAAAACAAAATATTACCAGCAATAAAAATTTTGTCAGCATTGAGGTTGATATGCCGTAAAACAAAACAAACAAAACATCTTGAAACCAAAAGGAGAAAGAGAAAGATTCTGTCCTTTCTGGAAATGGGGTCATAAAATTGCACATGTGACCATAAACCTTTTTCCGGTTTCTTTATAACATGCATGATGGGAAAATTAATTTATTTTTAATTTGTTATTTTATTTATTGGTTTTATTTCATTTTACCCACAGAAATCTTGCTGATAGGGTTCAACATTGTATTGAACATGAAGGGGAGCATTTTGAACATGTTAAATAGTTTGTTAATCATAACAAATCATGTTTGTTTTGATGTGACAATACATATAAATTTTCTTAGACACCGTCGGTTCCAAAACAAGATCGATTCGGCAAGAAAGTCATGTTGTGCGTTTGGTGGAACTTTGAAGGAATCGTGCATTTTGAGTTGGTTCCGAATGGTCGTACCATCAGTGCCGAACTTTACTGTCAGCAACTGGAGCGGGTCTACGAAAAGTTGAAACAAAAGTACCCGGCTCTGATCAACCGAAAGCACGCTTTGATGCAGCAGGACAATGCCAAGCCACACACCGCCAGGAAGACCAAAGACAAGTTTGAAGAGCTGGACGGCGTTGAGGTTCTGCCACATCCAGCCTACAATCCTGACTGTGCTCCATCAGATTACGGCCTTTTCCGCTCAATGCAACACTTTCTGAAGGGCCGCCGATTCGACTCGTTTGATGAAGTCGAGGAAGCGTGTCAAGAATTCTTTGATTCGAAGCCGGCTGAATGGTACTTTCACCAGATCCGAAAGCTTGCAGATCGATGGCAGAAAGTCTTGGAAAATGATGGTCTTTATTTTGAGGAATAATTTTTGTTGTTTTTGTTATTACTTGGCGAGTAAAATTTCAATTTTTTGCAAGTGTTTACGAACTTTTGGGACAACCTAATACTTTAAAATTCCATATCGTTTCAGACTGTAGGATATCACGGCCCTCTACAACTTCCTTCCATTTACTATCAGTAAACTGTGCATTGCCATAACTGTTCTACGGGAAAACCTGAAGTGGTTTCCCATTGCATCCACGAGAGTTTTGAGTTCAAATTTTTCCTTCTTCTAATCTGGTCGCCTCACCAAGTCTGAAGAAACCAGTGTGACTTATTATCTTACAAGTAGCTGAATTCGGGAGAAGACATGGATTCAGGTCCTTTTGAAGGACCAAATAAATACAGCAGTCATGGTTAGAATTCGAACACTGACTGTCGATTTCATTTTCGGAGTTGATAACCGTAACGTTATTTATAAAGATATTCACAAATGAACGAGGTAAAAATACTGTTTTTATATACAATTCTTTTTCTTCTATGTCCATTAGAGATCATAGGTCCTCACAATTTTCTGTCCTTTGTAACTTTTAATAAATTTTATATTTTTGATACTGCCCCTAATCCATGTTCTGTCATCAATTTACACCTTCGTTAGGTAAGGTCATGCCCTGATTTCCCTCTCCAGTCGTATTCGTATACGTATGAGGGTCAGCAACTCAATTTCCTAGGAACCGAAAAGCCGGACATATGAATTGACTATAGTATATATATATATATATATATATATATATATATATATATATATATATATATATATATATATATAAAATGCAGAAAATAGAAAAGAACGCATTGGGTCCCGGGGTTCCTTTAGTATTTTTGTTTTATTTTTAAGAAGACAGTGCTCCATACACAAGTAGAGCTTTATTATAATTATATTTTTTTGGTTTAAAAATATGATTTCTTCGCTACATAAGAGTTCTCATGTTTCAAAAACGAGAGCCGAAACCATCCAAACAATTATTAAAATTAAGTTGAATTGAGGTGTTTCGTCCCGTTTCATCTTCAAGCGAAATTTTAGGAATAAGCTATCTCTCGGTTTACGTGTGTTTTTAGGCATGGTCCATTACAAAATTCGTTATTGTGGGAATGGCTAGACTATTTTCCTTCGTTAAGTGGTCAGAGAGTTAATGCTTATCAATAGATTCAACTCTTATGCAGCGAAGGAATCATATTTTAAACAAAAATATGATATATATATATATATATACTCCATGCATATTCCACCATATATATATATAGATACACTCCACCGTGCAATCCTCATACCTATATATATATATATATATATTAGATAAGAGTTCCATACTCTTTTCTTTGTTTCTAAAGATATTTTCCAGTTGCTTAAAACTTTACTTGGCCGTGAACAGATTCAGCTGGAATTAGAACCCGGCTCTCCGACTACTCCAACGTGCCTCCTTTATATATATATATATATATATATATATATATATATATATATATATATATATATATATATATATATATATATATATATATATATATTCTTAGCGTTTGGAAAGTATCTCTCGCAATCCCAATGCGTTGTCGGTGTCGTACTTGCATGATATTTACATTTTAATACTTGCTTGCTTTTAGTATCGCCTATTCGTAATTTGCATGTCGAATTGCTACTTTTGCTAACAGCCTCTCTTCTCGCAATTGATGTTTAGTCTTTTCTTCTAGTTTTCATTTAATACACTAGAAAATAAATAAAAATAGACATAAACAGACTGACACAGACATATCTAAGATTGATATATACAGGGTGCGATGGATAAATTGTCGTCTAAATTACATAAAAAATGAAAACAACACTGACATCTCATTTAAACAGACATATTTACCAAAATGGCACAAAAATATGTTAAATTACTAAAGATATAAATATATATATATAGATATATTAAAGATATATTAAATTACTAAATATAAATTACTAAAGAGTAAATGTATTCAAAACAATTGCCAGAGACTTCAACTACAGTTTCCAGACGACTTCAGAATCTCCTTAATCTCATCTGGACGGTCTCCTCGTTTGAGTTGGTGAATGCTGCCATAATCTTTGCCTTCAATTCATTTTTGGTGTTACAAAGCGTTTTGTTGGCCTCTAGCTCTACCAACCGACGCTATCTCTTGCTCTATCTACCAACACATAATAAGGGGTTTGTAGTCTGAGGAGTTAGGTGGCCAGATGTAAGGGGTGATGTGCTCGCAGACATTGTCTGACAGCCATGACTGGCACCTCCTACTTGTCTGTCATTGTGCAGAGTCTTA